CCTCCTCCGCCTCCTCCTCCGCCACCTCCTCCTCCTCCACCTCCTCCTTCTCCTCCTTTTCCTCCTTCTCCTCCTCGGGGGGAACCGATACCGATGCAGCTCGTGGAGCTCTGGCCAGGCCTACCGTCAAAACTGAAATATGAAGGATGCGCGGTAAGGAGCCACGCCCCTTGGACGCCCGTGCTGAAGCTCGTCGAGGGGGGCTGGCCATCGAAAGGAGTCAAGCACGGACCGAGGAGGCTAGGATGCGAAGGGTACCCGTGGGACGCCCTATCCTCGGCTTCGACTGTGACTTGCCTCTGCTTCTGAACTCTGAAGAGCCCTGACAACCTAGCCGAAGACCGAGCCGAGGCCTTCTAAACTGGCTGGCGCAGTCGACGCGAGGCCGCACCGCCCTCCGCACCGGCATGCCGCAGGGGAACGGAGCGGGAGGGAGAGAGGAGGGCGCGCGCGCGTGCAGCGATGGAACGGGCAGGTGCCGCTCTCAACTCCTGGGCGAGACAGGGTGGCGCAATGGTGCCACTTCGCCACGTGAGCGACGATCCAAAAGAGTCTTGCGCAAGATGACCTGGAGACCTTACGCAGTGGCTTACGCAGGCCGCCCGCGCGGCACGCTGCGTTTGAAATGTGGGCGCTCACGCGCGACCTTGCGCGGGAAAGTTACGCGCGAATGTCGACGCAGTCGACCCTCTTTTCTTGCGTCGCCCACCTGTCCACCCGAACCCACAGAGGGCAACAAAGACGAAGAGGGGAAAAAGACGAACAGGGTCAAGAGGTAGGAAGGGGGCGGAGAGGAGAGGAGGGGCGGCAAGCTAGGCGCGCTCGCGTCATGTCTGACGCCCTATCCCTCCCTTCCATCCCGTACCATTGCGTAGAGCCCCTCTGTATTCGCACAGTCGGATGTCGAAGAGGGCAACAACTCTCAAAGGGTACGCAATGCGCAGCATGGCACAGCATTGCATAGTCAAGCATTGTATGTCACAGCTTTGCAGCGCAATGCATGGTAACGCATACCGGCACAGCACATACGTAGCATCGCATGGCATGCCATTACGTGGCATGCCACTGCGTAGCCCAGCGTTGCATATTGCAGCATTGCGGAGCAAAGCATGGAAACGCATGATATCGGCGCAACGCATAACATTGAATTGCAAACCTTGGCCGCAAGAGCGGTGAAACCAGCAAAGCATGCTGGAGGACCGATAATTTGGAGATGGGGCAAGTGTTATAGCGGGAACATAATTAGGAAGGACCGAACACGCGGAAATGATGCCAACGCCGTAGCGGGAGCACGATTTGGAAGGACCAGTAGCGCGGACGCTGGAGCCACCACTTTGCCAAAAACGATCGGACTGGAAATGCACATCAGAAGTACCATGTGTTTGGATTCCTGTGTGAAAGAACCATACGCGGAGAAGGCAGAACATACTCTGGAGAGAGTCCGAAGAAAGAAAAGAGTAGCGTGTAACTGTGGAGGAGACATTAGCTCTACCTCGTACTGAGCATCGGCAGCGCCCGTGGATGCACCGACGCCGCGGCCCGGCTGCTGCCACGGCCCCCGCTTCCGCTGGCCGCGCCGGCGCACGCAGCTTGGAATTCTGCCGCGTCTGCGTGCCCTCCACCTCCTCCCGCCCTTCGCGGCCGCCCTGTCTGTCTAGGTCCGCCCTCTTGCACGCTGGCCAAGTGGCGTATCGGTCGCCCCGATCGCCAGCCCGCTGGAGCAGCACTTCTGCCTCGCCGCCGACGAAAAAAGTGAGTGCAATTGCGGAGGAGAGACTCGGAGCGGCAGGGAAGGGGAGGGACAGGGTGGGGGGGGAAACCAATTGGGGGTCCCAGGCGCTCCCAGGCGCTCCCACATGCACTCTCACGCATTCGTAGGCGTTCCCAAGTGCTCCCAGGCGCTCCCGAATGCTCTCGGGCGTTCCCACGTGTTCCCAAGCGCTCCTAAGCACCGCCAAGCGCTCCTAGGTGCTCCTGGGCGCTCCCTGGCGCTCCACGGCGCTCCCAAGCGTTGTAAGCTTCAGGAGAGGCCCTGGATTCCCACACGTACCCCCAGGCGCCTCGAGGCGCTTCCAAGCGGCCCCAGGCGCTCCCAAGCGCTCCCCGGCATTCCCACGCGCTGCCAGGCGCTGCCAGGCGCCCGCAAGCGCTCCCAGGCGTTTCCTGGCGCTCCCATGCGCTCCCAAGCGCTCCAAAGGCGCCCCCAAGCGCTCCCAGGCGTTCCCAGGCGCTCCCCAAGCATTCCACAGCGCTCCCAGGCGCTTCCGGGCGGCGCTCCCAAGGGCTCGCAAACGCCCCCGGGCGCTCCCAAGCGCAACCAGGCGCTCCAAGGCGCTGGCGAACGTTCCCCAGCGCTCCCAGGCGCTCCCCCGCCATGCGGGTGCTGCCGCGGCCATGCCCGCGCATCGTAGCCCCTCGCGCTCCCCACCACGCCACGCGAAGTTCGCGCCGAAGGCGGCTGCGTCGACACTAGCTTCAGCGGGTGCGACACCAGAGGCGAAGCCGACCGCCGAGAGCGAATGCGACGGCCGTGCGCATCGCCGTCAGCCCCCTTATGGACTTCTGCGCCCGCGGCAGCCCCGCGGCGCAACTCAAAGCCAAAGGCCACGACGGGCAGCTCGGGAAGGCGGGCCCGTGCGCCTGCACGGAGCGCATCGCGCGCGTACTCCAACGCATGCGCACTGTCCAGGCTGCTTCGGCCTGCTCGCAACAGCATGTTCGCGTGCGCACCGAACACGATGGCCCCCTCTTGATAGGGGGGGTGGGAGGTAGAAGCCCTAAACCCTGAAAGGCTTCACTGTGGGTGGTCTGGGGCGGGAATGCAAAGTTCGGAGCGCGCGCGGCCTGGGCAGCGATCCCCCCCAACACTCTTGGTGAGGGGGGGATCGCAGCCAGTGCGCGATCTCTCCAATGCAGGCCCTAAATTCTTAATCCTATAATTATTAAACCCTGACTAACCTAAAAGCGGTCGTTACGCAACCCGGCTCCATCTACTGCAAAAAAACATTTCCTGAGCATGCGTGCAGGATCTCTTATATTTTACAACACAAAGTGCCCAGCCCCCGCCGCGACCCCCCTCCATCTACGGCAAAACAACAGCATTTCCTGAGCATGCGTGCAGGATCTCATATTTTTTACAACACAAAATGCGCCCCTCTTATGTAAGCCCGTTCCATCTACTGCAAAAAATAACACTTCCTGCGCATGCGTGCAGAATCTCTTGTATCTTACAATACAAAGAATACAAAGTGCCTCCCGTTGCGCGCCGATCCACCCACTCCACAAAATAGCCTTCGCTGCGCATGCGTGCAGAATCTCTTCCGCCCGACCCGACTCTTCCCGCCCCGTGAGAGCACTCGCGTGCCAACTGGATCGCACATCACTCGTCGCCGTCGTCGTCGTCGTCGTCGTCGACGCTGTATTCGATGTGGTTAGAGCGAGGGGAGAGATGATCTTTATGGTGGGGTGGCGTGCGGGTGGGAGTGACGGCCACCGCAGGTGGGCTCGCGGTCACGGTGTACTCGTGGCCACGCCTAGTAGACCCTAAACCCTAAACCCTATCCTCCTTCTCCCACCTCCCTCGTCCTCCTCCTCCTCCTCCTCCTCCCTCCTCCTCCTCCGCCTCCTCCTCCTCATCCACCTCTTCCTCCTCCTCCTCCTCCTCCTCCTCCTCCTCGTTCTCCTTCTCCTTCTCCTTCTCCTTCTCCTCCTCCCGCTCCTCGAAGGCGAGGCGAGGCTCGATGTCGCCCGCCCCCCCCCCGACAGCCCCAAGCAAAAGGCCCCGAGGACGCCCCAAGAGGCCCCAAAGCGGCCCCCCAAGAGGCCCCAAGAACGGCTCCCCAAGAGGCTCCCGAGCCCCCCCCACCCACCGACATCCCAGCGAACATCCAAGAGGCCCATGACCCACGACCCAGGCACGGTGGCGGGAGTGGCCGAAGGCCACTGGATCCGCCGCCCCCTGTTGCTTGCAAGAGGGGTGCCTGGCGTGCTGAATCTATCGTTTTGATTTTGGTCCTTTTTCCAAAAGAACTCCCCCTGGGGCTCCGGCGCGTCCCGCCGGCCACCCGAAAGGATGCCTAAAATTTGCCCGGACCCGGCTCCAAAGGGTTTTTCCCTGGTCCAGATAGCTCCACGACGGCCCAAGATGGCCTCCAAGATGCATCCCAGACGGCCAAGAGGGCCTCCAAGACGGCTAAGATGGCCCCAAGATGCCTCCAAGACGGCCCAAGATATACCCAAGATGGCGTAAGATAGCCTCAAGATGACCCAAGACTGTCCAAGAGGCTTCAATACGGCCCAAGAGGCCTCCAAGAGGTGCTCCAGGAGGGCCCGCAGAGGCCCAAATCGATGATTTTCCTTAGGTTTTTGAAAGAATTTGGCATTTGCCTCTTCTCGGCATTCCGACGGCTCAAGACGGCTCAAGAGGCCGCCAAGATCGCCCCACCATCGCCCACGAGGCCTCCAAGAGAGCCCCAGAACGGCCCAAGAGGCCTCCAAGACGGCCCCAAGAGGGCCCCAAGACGGCCCAAGAGACCTCCAAGACGCCCAAGATGGCCTCCAAGACGGCCCCGAAGCGCCCACGTCGGTTCAGAGAGGCCCCCAAGACGGCTTCCGACGGCGTCAGACGGGCCAGCAGCCCACCAAGATGGCCGAAGTTGGCTCGAAGCTGGCCCAAGACGGGGCCCAAGAGCCCCCAAAGATCACCCAAAGATCGCCCAAGATGCCTCCAAGATGGCCCCAGAACGGCCCAAGAGGCTCCCAAGACGGCCCCAAGAGGCCCCCAAGACGGCACAGGAGGCTTCCAAGACGCCCAAGATGGCCTCCAAGACGGCCCTGGAGCATTCCAAGAGGGCCCCGCTTTCCAAACCGTTTCGGGGAACACATTGTCCCATAGCTTGGCAGGTCTGGCCTCAACGTGCGGCCACATAGGCGCTTCCAGAAAGGCAAGGGGCGGCGGTGATTCGCAGTAGGCGTCTCCGATTCCACCCCCTCCGATCCTCTCGGAGGCGAGGCCCTTTCTCGAACGCCTTCTGCATCGCCCCCCCCAGCAAGTACGCAACGCCCGACCATCAGGCTGCGGACTCCAGCTGGAAGCTCCGGATCACGCTCTGCATGGACTCGCCCTCGGCCTCCAGGCTCGCCTCGGGCAGGGAGACCACGATCAGAGCGCTCAGCGAGGGGCTGCGCACCGCCCGCCACCAGCGGTGGAACTGAGACTTGAAGGCCGAGGGCGTCGTGCCGTCGTCGGGAGTCAGGGGCTCCGTCGTCTCCAGCAGGTCCTCGGCATCGCCGAACCGGTTCTGGAGGATCGCGGTCCTGAAGGCCCCGAGCGTGCCGAAGGAGGCGAGGCCCGTGGATATCCGCCGCTGCATCTCGGCCCTCACCTCCCGGACCGTGTCCAGGCCCGGCCCGTCCTTCAAGCCCAGCGGAATGCAGCCCGCCACCGTGCCGTGGGCACGGAGTGCGACGCCCGCGGGTCCCGCGGAGCCCCTGGCCCAGGAGCCCCCGGGAAGGTCCCGCGGAGGGGCGCCTCGAGGGGCCTTCCCCGAGAGGCCACTGGTCAACGGCCCATTGGTGGCCACATGTGAGCCCTACCCCCCACCCCCCCACGAGTTTTGAAGGGGGGGTGGGGGTTCAGGGGCCCCTCGAGGGGCCTTCCCTGAGAGGCCACTGGTCAACGACCCACTGGTGGCCACATGGGGACCCTACCCCCGCCCCCCACGATCTCTGAGGGGGGGTGGGGGCTCACTTCGCTCGGGAGGTCCCGAGCGGAGTGACCCCCCCCAGAAATCGTGGGGGGGGGGGGGCGAGGGTTATGTGGCTCCCATCGTACTTAAGGACCACATCCCAGAAATAATTTCGAGCACCCAGAAAAGTGTTGCAAGAGTGTCGAAACAGTGTCGAAACAGTGTCGGACGAGCGTCTCCCAGGGCCCGACAAGCGAGAAAACCCTCGAGTTCAGGGGTACTCTTCTGGTGCTCGACATTCTTCCTGGCGGTCCACGCTAAAGTAGGCTGGGACATCACAAGGCGAGGGTAGGGCTCACGCGTGGCCACTGGCAGAACCCCGGGCAACGAGGCGGGATCGGCCCACGGCCCCTGGACCCGCAGGCCCCCTGCCGGCCTGTGCCGCGGGGTGCCCGGCGTGCCGTGGCCGGGCGGCGTGGGCCTCGCGGGCGCACTCTGCGAGGCCAAAAGGGGGCGGCGGTGACTCGCCGTGGGCGTCGTCGATAGATGGTTGCCCCGTCTTTGCGGCCGTACCTCGCGACCTCTGGCTGGAGCTCGTACCTCTTCTGGAAGCCGGGGGGCACCTCGAAGGAGTAGAGGGGCTTCCCGCCCGAGGCGGGGCGCCGGACGCGGAGGGCCTCGGCCCCCACGAGGCCGTCGTAGAGCCTGTTCCACTTGTCCACGGAGATGCTGGAGAGCTTCTGCGTCCTGGGCCAGACTATCTCCAGGCGCTTCTTCTGCTTCTCCCCCGCGCCGTCCGACAGGATGCGCCTCACGTACCCGTAGTCCCCGGGCCCGTACACCTCCTCGCCCTCCTTGTTGGTGAACTCGAGCCCGGGCTTCACCTTGAGCTGGTCGCCCACCTGCGGCACCCACGACGGCAGCTGCAGCCGCTCCTGGGGAAACCAACGGGTGCCGATGCCGCTACTCCCCGGACCTCTGCATGGGCGCATTCTGACCAGAACTTCGAGGCGAATCCAGCCGTGCCGACGAGAGCCTCCCAGGAGGCCCGAAACGGGGAGAAAGAAGGAAAGGTAGCGGTATCGGCTGACCTGCCCCAGTACGCAATACGCAACCCGTAGAGTGCTGACACGGAGCCTAAGACGTATATTAAAAGCGTAGGCTGGGCACGATACATTCGCCGAAACGTGGGCCAACACGTCCGTGAGACGTGTTGAGCACGGCAGTTGCTGGGTTTTGACGCGTGCGTATCAGGGCAGCACCTC